TAATGAGCTCCTGCACCTCTTTTTCTACGAAATGACCCCTGCTGATGAGCTTCTGCCATCTGATGAGATCGGACAAGCCTGGGGCGTCCAGGTGAGGGCAGAGACAATCCGCAGTGGTTTGCCTAGCCAAAACAACTATCCCTCATTACTGGAAAAGACAATGGACTCTTTAAACGACAGATGTTTAGGTAGACATGAGTATTTGGTACCCTATTTTGGACTATTTAGAACAGCAAGGTGAAATCTGCCTTCACACTTGAAAACTGTTCCTCTGTTTGAGAATGAGCTATCTGGTACTTATAATTATCCATGAAGGATGGATGCAAAACTCTAGGAATAGGACATGAATGGGACGCCTGCCTGTTTTTACCATCCAAGAACTACAGATACTCAGAGGTCATTTCGGGGGGGATCGCGGGGGATCGCAGTCCCCCCGGGTGAGGTACAGGGGGCGGGGCACATGACGAAGCCCCGCCCCCTGCTTCTGGCCACCCCGCTTCCGGCCCTCATTCAGCCAGGAGGAGGCAGGAGAAGAGGGAGGGTAAGTTGCTTCCTCCCTGCCTCTCCCCACCCCTGCCTGCCTGGGGCCAGGGAGGGCCTTCGCGGGGCTTCCTTGCACTCCCACCGGCCTTGCAGGTCCACCGCCGGGCCCCTCATGGGGCTCGGCAGTGGAGCTGCAAGGCCGGCGGCGGCGGCCGGGACCGTTGGGAGCGGGGTGTGTGGCCTTATGACACACGTCCGGTGATGTCAGGGGGTGTGGCCTTATGACACCCTTCCGGTGATGTCAGGGGGGGTGGCATATGCTAATGAGTTATGCTAATGAGTTCCCCTAGCTCTTTTTCTACGAAACGACCCCTGCAGATACTGATATAAGAGCTTTGGGTAAGTGGTAAAGTATGCAGGGAGGAAATGCCGGCTTGTCGTTTTTAAATTTTTAAGACAACACTTTTATAATGTTATATTTATATTGCATGTGTACGTGTAGACGTTTGACAGTTTTGGAATTCATTAGAAGAACTAGAAAAAAAAACAGACAAACCAAGCTGGGGGGGGGGGAGAAGAGGTGGTTTGCCCGTTGCCTGCCTCCGTGCAGCAACCCTGGTATTCCTTGCTGGTCTCCCACCCAAACCTAACCCTACTAAGCTTCCAAGATCTGATGAGATCGGGCCAGCTTGGGCCACCCAGGTCAGGGCGATTTGGGGGTACGGGAGACGCAAAACCAACACTCTGCAAGTGCAAGGAAGCCTTTGTATGCCACAGACACTCACGGCATATCGGGGGGATTTGCTGGCTGGGTGCCGTAACAATAAAATTCATTCATTCATATCGGGGGGACCACGACACCCCCACCCCACCCCGTCGCACCTTTCCCGGCTCTCCCTGCCCAGATGTCGAGGGGTGTGTGTGTGTGTGTCGCTTACTTGCTCGGAAGCTCTTTGAGTTCGGGAAAGAGATCCTCCACCGGCTGCTCCTCGAACTGGTGCAGCTCTTCGTTCTGCAAGGAAGGAGAGGGGACGATTGCTTTGAAGGCCTCAAGATGGAAGGAGCACCAATCAGGCAGGTGAGAGAGAGAGAGAGAAGAGGGAGGCCAGAGAGGCAACGTCTCCTGACGGTCTCACCTCTTTGTACAGGTGGATCGCGGGATCGTTCCCGCTCAGCAAGAAGACCGTCTCCGGCTGGCCAGCAACCTGGACTCTGCAAGGCGGAGAGGAAAACGGTGAAGGGGAATAAAGGCGTCGGCAAGACTACGTTTGTGGGCCGTCCTGGGACAGAAAATACCCCCAATTCTGCAATCACCCCCCCCCCAATAAGTGACGCAGATCGGACGTTCAGCAGCAACAGCTGCTGTGCAGGACAGAGGTGGCTTCGGCCCACGTTTGGTCCCTTCTGGTTCACAGCTCCAAGGAAGGAGGACCGTTTGGCGTCAGGTGTGGCTGGAGCTATCGAGGACCTGCCTTGCACGATTCAAGGCCGTCGTAGACTCCTACTGGGTTTTTCCGCTGACTGTCTGAACACACGGATAGTCGAGGCCGCTTTCCCTTCCCCCTCCCCACAACAGACACCCTGCGAGGCAGGCGGGGCTGAGAGAGCTCTTTCGAGGACTGCCCTGGAGAGAACAGCTCTGACAGAACTTGTGACTGACCCAAGGTCACACCAGCAAGCTGCACGTGGAGGAGTGGGGATTCCTGGAAAGGCGTCGGGAGAGTTTCCCAGATGAATAGCAAAGGAGGTGTGCTTTCAGAATCGGTTTAAAAAAACAAAAAAAAAACGTTTTGGTGATTCATTGTTTTAAGTGTATACTATTTTATTTATTTATTTGGATCCTGAGCCCAGCCTCCCCTCGACGGGCTCAGGGAGGGTTCCAACGGTGTAAATATACACAACAATATAAAATACAATACAATTAAAACCACACTGGAATCTGCAAAACATACAGCTTTGATCAAAGCCGGATACCTCAGTGGCTAACAGTACTGGGAATAAATTCCCCAGAGGTCTGCAAAGTTTAGGATCCCAGACCCAGACTGCACGTAGGGTTTGATTCTGGGATTCTTCTTTCCCTGTGACTCCCCGCAGAAGAGAAGAAGAGATCGGGTTTATACCCCACCCTTCACTACCCAAAGGAGTCTCAGAGTGGCTTACAAACTCCTTTCCCTCCCCCTCTCCACGACAGACACCCTGTGAGATGGGTGGGGCTGAGAGAGCTCTGACAGAAACGGCTCTTTCTTCAAGAACAGCTCTTATCAGAACTCCGGCTTGACCAAGGTCATCCAGCAGGTGCAAGGGGAGGAGTGGGGGAATCAAACCCGGCTCTCCCAGATTAGAGTCCGCGCACTTAACCGCTACACCAAAATGATGAGCCACAGTTCCTCCTAAACTGCCAAGACCCTGCCGTTCCCTGTGATATGGTACGGCCACTGCTTCCTCATTCTTACAGCCTGTGGGGGCCATCTGCTCTGATCTTCCAGTGGCAGAAAGCCCCGGACTCTGTGAGCCATTCGGTCTTTCCGCACGCAGAGACCTGCCTTGCATGGCGAGCAGTGCTTCAAGAGCGAGCGAGCGAGCGAACTCTGTCTTCGTTCACCCTGGGGCGACAGACACAGTTGGCCGCTTCTCCCTCTTCAAGCGCCAGCAGAAAGCTCAGGGCAGAATTCGTCACGAGCAGCAGTGCAAAGAGCAAAGCCTCCTGGGTATTCTCCCACGCTCCGGCGGGGTCACCCTGCCGCGAGCCAGAGACGCTGCCCAGACTTTCAGAAGTGTGGCGAGCTGTAGTTTTAGCCTGGCCCATTCCTTCCCTTTGTGCTCGCTCTCTCTCTCTGTGGGGAATCAAACCCGGTTCTCCCAGATTAGAGTCCGCGCACTGAACCACGACACCAAACTGGCTCTCTATTAGATCTGTGAACTGCCCAATCCCTACTATCATAGGGCTCTGGGCGAGGTACATAATATTAAAAACAATCACCAAATAAAACGATTGAATGTATTAAATTACATTAAAAATCAGATGGTGAGTAATAATCCTTAGACTTAAATCATTCCCCTATTACAGACTGCCGGCTGTTTCGCAGACAGGGGGGAAGAAGAAGAAGAGGAGGAGATTGGATTTATACCCCGCCCTTCACTACCCAAAGGAGTCTCAGAGCAGCTTACAAACTCCTTTTCCCTTCCCCTCCCCACAACAGACAACCTGTGAGGTGGGTGGGGCTGAAAGAGCTCTGACAGCAACTGCTCTTTTTCAAGGACAGCTCTTATCAGAGCTACGGCTTGCCCAAGGTCATCCAGCCAGGTGCAAACAGAGGAGTGGGGGATCAAACCCGGTTCTCCCAGATTAGAGTCCGCGCACTTAACCACTGCACCAAACTGGCTCTCTTCTGCCGCAGACGGATGTCAGAGCAGAAGAGTTCCGATCGTGCGGATTCAAATCAAGGAAAGGCAAAATCCAGGAAGGCAGAAACGTTATCAGGCTTCTACGGAAAAGGGGGGTGTAACGATTTCATGTTTTGGGTGTGTGGAGGGGGGGGGGGGGGGGGAGACTGTATATACCTACTCCGCGTGGTAGAGCTGGAATGGGGTAAACTGGAGCTCCAAGTTCAAGCAGCTCTCTGGAGAGAAAGAAAGAAGGGCTTCTGAAACAAACGAGAAACCACGTCCCTTTCCTCACCAAGAGCAGAAGAGAATGTGCTCCAGTCCTTCCATGATGCTGACGGATCCAATCATTCTTCATCACATGGCAATATAGGCCTACAGACCGACCCAATCTATCAGCCAGGATTTGTTTAAGACAAGCGACAGACCGCCATCCATTTCCTTCGATGCCCGGAGTGGCTCATTGCTCACAATCGGAGGCTGGCAGAACCACGGCGTCTCAGGCTCCTCACCTCAACCGATCTCATCCAGCCCACCCTCAGACTCTAACTTAAATTTAAGAACATGAGAGAAGCCAATGTTGGATCAGGCCAATGGCCGATCCACTCCAGCACTCTGTGTCACACAGTGGCCAAAAATACCAGGTGCCATCAGGAGGTCCAGCAGTGGGGCCAGGACACTAGAAGCCCTCCCACTGTTGACACCCCCAAGCACCAAGAATACAGAGCATCCCTGCCCCAGACATAAGAACATAAGAGAAGCCATGTTGGATCAGGCCAGTGGCCCACCCAGTCCAACACTCTGGGTCACACAGTGGCCAAAAACACCAGGTGCCATCAGGAGGTCCACCAGTGGGGCCAGGACAAGCACCAAGCACCAAGAAGACAGAGCATCACTTGCCCCAGACATAAGGACATAAGAGAAGCCAATGTTTGATCAGGCCAATGGCCCATCTAGTCAACACTCTGTCACACAGTGGCCAAAAATATCAGGTGCCATCAGGAGGTCCACCAGCGGGACCAGAACTCCAGAAGCCCTCCTGCTGTTGCCCCCCCAAGCACCAAGAAGACAGAGCATCACTTGCCCCAGACATAAGAACATAAGAGAAGCCAATGTTGGATCAGGCCAATGGCCGATCCAGTCCGACACTCTGTGTCACACAGTGGCCAAAAATACCAGGTGCTATCAGGAGGTCCACCAGCGGGACCAGAACTCCAGAAGCCCTCCCACTCCTGCCCCCACAAGCACCAAGAAGACAGAGCATCCCTGCCCCAGACAAAAGAACATAAGAGAAGCCATGTTGGATCAGGCCAATGGCCCACCCAGTCCAACGCTCTGTGTCACACAGTGGACAAAACCCAGGTGCTATCAGGAGGTCCACCAGTGGGGCCAGAACTCCAGAAGCCCTCCCACTGTTGCCCCCCACAAACACCAATAAGACAGAGCATCACTTGCCCCAGACCGAG